TTCTTCGGAAATTTTTCTAAATCTGTTAGCTACAATTTTTACCAATAGTCTTTCAGACATCAAAAATACAGAAAAAAATTTGAAAGCAACACTTGTTATCAGTAAAACAGAGCTGCAAAATTATTTCATCTGGAAAAATCCGCAAACCCGCTATTGAAGACAGCCAAAGCAAGAGTTCAAATCATTTATTCCACGTATTAAAGGAATTCATAGTTTATTCCAAAAAAAAATTTTTTTTTGGTTGTCAACGTAACCACAATCAATGAAAAACACTCGTCTTTCCCATAAGTATAACAACTCCTCAAACAACTCTTAACTAGCTTTCATTGAGATAAAATGCGAGCACTTCGTAAAGTATCTAAGGTAATTATCAATTTGCAAATGAACACTAACTGTGTCTTGTTAACTGTCAAGGTAAAATATTCTAGCTATCACTTCCTCCCTCTTCTCACAAATTCCATCAACAGAATCAAAAGTCTCTCTAGCAAACCCAAGTTCAGCGTTGAAATCAAACAATGCAGTATCATCTGGTAATAGTTGCAATTTTATTTTACCAATACGATCATAGACGAACACATTACAATTAATCATTTTGGTCTTCCTAATTTTTAAAACCAAACGCTTTTCACATATGTACTTGCCGATGACGCAATTGACTGCAACAGATGATCAGTGATGACACAACAAATACATTTAAAAATAGCTTTCTTGAATGGAAGTGATGTTTTGAATGAAAAATTAGGCGTCAAGCCAACTTTTCAATGTAACCCAGTGATCCGAAAATTTTATGTACAAGCAAAAAAAAAAAAAAGTCGAAGAAATTTTTGGGTCCAAAAAGCACTTAACTAGAGTTTGAAGATTAATTCCTTATAAAAACCTCTTCAAAATGCTTTAAACAGAGGAATAAGAAGGCAGGATTGCATGAGAGAATGAGTGTAGGGAAAAAAAGAAAAAACAGTAAATGAAGAAAAAAAAGCAGGGAAACAAATAAACATGTAAGCAGGATGAATTCACACAATTGAGGAAAAATAGATTGCTGACCGTAAGTCGATCTAGACGGGCAACGGTCTACATAAAAGACTTTGGAAAGTACCAACGAGCTGGTTATTTCTTACCCTTAAATTTTAGTATCTTTCTTTTCCCCTCTTTTCCAAATACTCATAAAGTTCTGCAAGGTAATTTTTCATTCATATTCCAGTACCTTAAGATACTAACTTTCAAATTTTAAGATATTAACTTTATTGCAGCTGCAGTCAGAACGTTTTCTCACCAATGTACGAGAGAGCGAATTAAGTGTTAAGTGTTCAATATCAACTTCTTCTTTCATTCGACCTAATTAGGCAATTGAAGTTTACTAAAATCAACAAATATACCAATTGTTTAAAAACAAATAAACAGAAGAAAAACAAGAATAGAACGAAGCATCAAAAGTTCAATGATCTCGCAAGTTACCAAGCCAATATTAATTCAGTAACGTACCTTCATTATCTTTTATCCCTTCACTCCATTACAACCACTTCACGTAGATAATCAAAACTAAGGAAAACATAGAAAAAGAAATCCTAGAAATCAATTTTCTGATAAACTGATATTATGCAGGGAGAAATCAAACAACAGCTAACACTCTGCAGTAGAAACTGCAGTAGTCGAATTTCTTCCCCAAGCTACACTACTTCAGTTTTCTCTTTGGTAAGTTGCCAAAGCATAGGTATATTTGGTTTCATTTCCAACATTTTTCCCGTTCTCGTCGCGAAAACAAAAACCTGCAACTGGCGAGATTCCAGCAAAGCTCCGGAATGATTCGTCGTCACCTGTTCGGTGAATGTTTTGAGTATCGAGCTGCGTACAACTCAGATTAACTGGGATTTTCAGGAATTTTCACAACGCGCCCCTGAATTTGAAACTAAAAAATAGAACTTCACTATAGCTTATAATGAAGACTCTCTTTTTTTTAACCACCAAATGACTGTTCAGTGATTTGGTTTCTGTGAGACGGAGCAAATTTTTTTCCACTGACTTCGGAACTCGAAAATGCATGACACAGAAATTCAAAAAACCAAGACTCCAAGCCAAATAAAACCGAATCCTAAGGCAATCCGAAAAACCTGGAATGAAAGTGTCAAAAAAATTTGTTAGAAGAGAACTCATTTCAAATTCTTAGCAAGCATAGAAACAGTGAAAAGCAGTATAAATACGGCTTCGCACCACTATCAGGTGGAGAAAAAGGGAAAGGTTAGCTCAAAACTTTATAAAGCGTAGGAATCAGCAACCAAGTCGGGTCGCTTATGCAGTTACACAGCAATCGATAAAGAGAAGTTGGTTTTCTCCAACAAATAACATAACTTTTGCCGTCTAACCCGGAAAGTATTGAGTTACTTTAAGTTATCCACTACATATTCAGATAAGAATTCAGGTGCTGGCGAAACGTTCAGGAGTCACATGGCATCTCGCCAACCGCATCTTCCTTTTTGCAGCGCGAACAAGGACGAGATTTAGAGACAAAATCGAGTGTTGATCAGGTAAATTATGCAACATTAATTCACGACGTCAGAAGCCATACAGCTTTCTGAAAAACCCATTTTCTACACTAAGCATGTTCTAAAACGCTAGCAAACACAATTAACTGCCTTGAAAAACATGGGAAAAAAAGAGTACCAAAAAAGCGAAAAGTATATTTTTCTCAGCGATAAGTAAATGCAAAAGAGAGGCCAACATACAAAACTGGCAATCAGTCAGCTGTTTCGAAGTTGTGCGCAAAATCGTTGATCAACAGGCACTGCCAATAAAGCCAATGACAGTGTCAGCAAAAGGGCAACAAGTCTATCGCAACACAACTGCCACCCGACTTTTACCGCTCCTCAGGACCACAGCCGCTGAGTGAAACCTCGCTCTACGCTTGTCAGAGTCATAAATAAACAAAAGATATCTCTTTCATGGCCAAGATTTTCTCCTTTCAATCTTTGCTTCCTAAATTCGCTTGCAGCTTCATAATGTTCCTGACCGCAATTACTTGTCGCAGAGTAAAAAGCTTAGTTCTTTATCCAGCAGGTATAAATTTTTAACAAATCTCTGAACTACAAAGGACTGCCCGACTTCCAGTTTTTCATCTTATAGTCTGCTTCGAACTGGCTGACACAAAGACCGCTTCACTTGTTTTTGCTGTTGGCTTTGCTGGAATTTCACTACTTTGCGTCTTCCATGTTTCTGACATCAACAATCACTGCGAGAAAAATTAGAGAAGAAAAATTGAAAGTGTCGCTTTTTGACCTTTTAATCGCATATAAGAAAAGCCATATGAAGCATTAAAACCACACATGGTCAACTCATATCTTAAGCGGTTTTTAGGAAATTTTTTATTGCCATCATTCAAGTCGATCACATCCACATGCTAGCTGCTCATCGTTCTATACTTCTCTCCCCTATTTCTTCAACTCTTGCATCTCTACTGAACTCCTTTCACTTAACTAACGCAGTATGCGTTCTTAGCGTTATAAGAAGGAAGAACTTCGGCTGCATACTTGTAAGGATGCCTTGGACATCAGAGAAAGCATTAATAATATTCATTTATGTATAAGTGCCTTTTTCTAAGCACTCTCTTTTAGATTATTGTCAGCAAAAGCAGCTTTATCAAGTTGGTAAAAGGGGGTTCTAATTGACAACCAAATATTATAAGTCACAGAGCTTGTCAAAAATGAAAAAAGAGAACTATTACTAAAGCCTAACCTAACCTTTCATTGTAATTCTGAACCAACTGTTTCTTTTTTTTCGTAAACACATAGACTTTTAGACGAAAGAACCAGAATGTCAGACGATATCTGGACAAGCAGCTCCAGACCACCCCTGTTTTTTGTGTCAGGCAACAATATATAAAACTTTAAAGAGAAGCCCAAGCAGTTGTACACCTCTACATGTTGATCATGTCAAGTATATCACCCAACACTCTCAAGCAGCTGCCTTAGTGGTTGTTAAAAAACCTATATAACACAAAGATTCAATTAACGCCGCAAGACAGATCCACAACAGTTTGCAGCGAAAACTATATCTGAAAAGTCCTCCTCTCACGCAACATGGTCTTTTAATCCAGAATATGTAATTTATATATCACTGTTCTATAAAACCTTAAAAATTTTTTCAGCCAAACGTCACTTCCGCGTCTGAAAATAAAGGGCAAAAATTAAAGACTCCGTCAGCAGATTGGGATGGTGCCGGCAATAATGCTGCTGCTACCGCCGCTCTCCGCGTCGCTCATAGATTCCATAGCATAGAATTTATAAAACAAAATTCTATAAATGCATCCAGTAAAATGCAATGCAAGCAACCAGGCAAGCAGACAACGAAGTAGGTTTCACCAGTGAATTCTGAATACATCATAGAATAGCTAAACAAAAAATAAAAAAGAGACACGTTCATAAATGTGCATTGCGGAAAACAGCACTGAAAGAAAGAAAACGGCGACTATAAAACGATGCTAATGATGTCGATAACGACACACAAACCGACACTTGTCTTTGGAAAAGACTTATAGGAAATTAGAATTTTAAAGGGAAAGCGGGTTAGGAGAGGAAATGAATGTTCAAGGAATATTATCTGTCAAGACTTACTTTAACATTCAACTTTCATCACTGCTGCTATCACTCTATCTTCTTATTATTATTATTATTATTATTATTATTATTATTATTATATTATTATTATTATTATTATTATTATTATTATTATTATATTATTATTATTATTATTAGTTATTATTATCATCTGATTCCGAAAAATCTCAAAATTAATTTATTATTATTGTCTTTATTATTATTATTATTATTATTATTATTATTATTATTAATCTTCCAACAACATCATAAAAACTTCTTAACTGAAACTCTCACGAATAAAAGCTATGCAACAAGTTTATCACTGATAAGGTAACAACTGCAGAATTTTCCTTTTTGGAAAGACGATGACACTCTGCCGTTTTCTAAGTTGCTACCGATTTGGCTTTTAGTCTCTCAATAACCAAAATCTCCAGATACTTTTGCACTTAAACCATTCCTTTCTTTTTCATTAGCCCATGGTAGCTTCCCCCAGTTAAACAGCTGAACAAATGGCATTTCAAAAGCTGTCATATCAAGCAAACCTTGCCTACTTTTGGCTAACAATTCAACTTACAATTCTTGGCAACTTCTACACCCAAAATGAGAACAACCACGGTGTAACATTATTGCCATACCAAAGAAGTGAGAAGACTTAGTCGTGCTAGAAACCTAAACAGCACTCGAGGTTACCGTTATCCACGTTGCTCCAAACCGATTGTTATACAATCTTGTAAAAATGAGAATATTTTGAGGAAAAAAAAGAGTTACGGAATGGCGAATGAGGAATGCAGAATTGTGAACAACATGAGTATAAAGTACTAAAAATTGAAAAGTGAGACTGCACAGAATAGGCTATGATATGGTCTTCGACAACTAAGACAATCCTCAGTAATATGATTTACTGTTGAAAAACAAAAATATACTAATATTCGAGAATATACTAATATTCGAGATAAAAGAGACTTAATTTTAATAGAACTCCAACGGCGAAACCAGCGACCTAGCAGTGGTCTGCTGGAAGTTTCACAGGAGACAGTAACAAGAGAATAAGATGATTAATGAGGAATAAAAGCAGAAGAAAGCGACGGAAAAAACGCCTGTCCTGACCAACAGGACCAATTTTAGCTGGATGAATATTAAAGCTTTTGAGCCTTAGAAACTTTATAGTGCAATGAGTTTTCACACATCCGAACACAGGTAACAAGCAGCTAAATGTAAAATATAGCAATCTGCGATCTTCCTTTTAAAGAATCGATAAATTTGTTGCTCAAGATGGAAACAGATGCAAAGCCACCAAACACATCCACGGCAGTATCAAAATATTGCATAACAGAACATTTAAAGGTAGTGTTGACAAAAAAGCGCCATTGATCGGCGATTTTTGGCCGTCTTCTCAACTTTTGCAAATACTGTTTTCACTTCAGTGTTTATATAATTATTCCCTAACAGAGTGCCAGAGGAAATCGCATTTTTTCTCGTTGTTTCTCTTCCCATTGAGATAATAACGCTACGACAAAATGCAGAAGAAATTCCAGAAGGATCATACTTTAAAAATTTATGAACACAGCAATTTATAAATGTCTACGTCGTCATCGTTAATTTTTAAACGTTTCATGAAGTCGTAACCCGAGTTGCATTTAACACTGCTTTATACACATAGATCGCAGGAGAAAGAGAAGCTAAATCTGCCTTCATCATTTCCCTTGAACTGTCTCTCCACCCTTATTGTACCGTAACAGCCAAATTTCAAATAAGTTATCATACTTCACTATTTAGGTTTAAACAATTTCAGCAAATGAGTGAATTGTAGTGTCCAATAATCAATCAAACAATTACCTGTTTTTGTCGTGCTGATATAGTTGGATGTGAACGGGAAAAAGCAGCGGTTTTTGAGAGAATATGATGTCTTTTTCGCAAAGTCCCTCCTCCATTTTTCATCTGGTATCCGTCCCGTTTAACACGATAAAGATGATGCTAAAGAAGGTTATCCAGAATCTCGAACGAACACTTCATAATAAATCGTAATTAGCAGATTATAATATTGTTTAGGAACACATACTGCTAATATACCTCGAAAAATAGCTGAAACTAGTCAAAAATATCAATTTTTTAAAATGTTTAAATGAATAGAAAGAGCAAAAAGATCGAAGAGAGATGACAGTAAAAAAATCTGCAATTATGTAACACATCAATTCCACCCAGTTTTTTCAATCAGATCCTTTTCTAAAAATTATCACTGTTAGATTCTGAAACCTCTCCCTAAATTAAAATGTCATTTTTTTTAAAATAATACATCACTGCAATCACCGCTAATTTCTCCTTCATTCGAATATTGAAAACATTAGAGACTTCCTTAAGAAGAAAACGAAAGAAACACATCGACATCCGTCCTAAAGTCAGCAGGATAAATAAAAAACTGAGAGAAGAAAACTCTGCAGAAATAGAACATACACTGCCTTTTCAAATGCAACTTATTGTGATCAAGTTCTAATTGCCAGTTTTCTTTTGATAACTCAGAAATGCATCACTCAGCATGCAAAAAAAGAAAAAAAAAACAAAGCAGATATATAGCGGTGAGCAACAGACATTCAAAAAAACAAATTCTTCTTCCTTCACAAATAAAGAATTCCTTCAAAATGGTGATTCCTCATTGTTAAACAAGCAGCAAGCTTGATCAATCATGACTGTAATAGCTTTTCTGTCACTAACAATCCGCATATGCTTCTACGTATCAAACGTAAGAAATCCACTTCAAAAAAAATGATTAATCAAACTAACAGAATTGCGAGCACGACTTCGCGAAGTTAACTGTATGCCTCCCTGACCACGTAGTGCTTCCTCTTCCTTGGGTTCGCCGTCGTCGCTAATCTCACCGCTGCTTCCGCTACTATACTGTTCGCTGTTATCGTCATTTAGCGGAGCTTCAAAAATTGAAGTCACTTCAACTATTTTATATCTATATTTTCCGCACTAACCTTCCTGAGTTTCGTACCACAAATTTTTTTCCCCCTGCTTAGGAAACATTGTTGGGCCACTCCTTACCCTCTTTCAACGATATAAAAAACGATGATAATTAAAAAAATATAATTTGTAGACCTTTTGAATGAAAGTAACAAGAGACTTACGATCAATACTGTACGCCTCAGTTTACAATCCACTTATAATTTCTTCCTTGGAAAGAAAATTACAAAAAGTATTTAGGGCTAAACCTGTTCGGCGGGACAGATAGAAGTGATATGGAAAATAAAACCAGTAAAAAACCACTTTCAATACGAAAAACCATCGTGAGTGAGATTAAGAAACGAAAAACCTAATTAAGTCTACCAAAAATCAAACTGCCTCTAAAATAAGTTTAGATTTCTAAAGATAAACCAACGACAAAAGTATTTTCTACTCAATAAAAGGCGAAGACAGCGCTTATGAACGATAATCAAAGGGGAGTTGATTACGACTGCACCGTCCACAAATTTGACGTGAATAACAGAGAAAAATGCCAGTCGGAATTGGAAGAAAGTGACACTTTACAATCAGCTTCGTTGCGAAAGAGACGCAGATCAGACTTAAAAGATAACTTAGTAAACTTTGCTAAACACTTAGTAACCTAAACTTGACGCTTTTCCGCAGAGAATAATGAGATGGGTAGCCCACAAAAGAGCAAGTATTCTATTAAAAAAATTTTATTAGCTAAATACTGTAGTATCTCGTGCAAATGAAGATTTATAACATAGAATTCGAAATTGATACTGACTCGAATTCTTGCTTGAGATTTTCAAGAAATATTACTGGTATTTCCCTTCGTTACTTCTCTCAGTCACTTGGTTAACATAATTGTTCAGTGGTTTCCAAATTTCAAGTTATCAACAGCCACGAAAATAATGAATCGAAACAATTTAATATTAATTACTATCTTACTTTAACTGCAAATCATACTGTCTTTTCTCATCAATATTATAGATGAGTTCGAAGAGTTAGGTTAAGGAGAGCAAAACAAAGAACCCGTTGCGAATAGGAAAAAGAATTTTCTACCAAATACTTGGTCGCTGGTCGTTGACCGATTTGGAAACGATCGAGAAAATAACCGTCTCATTGAAGGAATAGAACACAAGTGCTAGGACTACTGAGGTGTTGCTATATTTTCAGGTAGTAGTCTTCTTTTTATACAATTCTTTCCTTTTCGCAGGAATGAAGATGTGGATTTTCAACATAACACGTACTACCGCTCAGTGCTGTAAAGTATACAATTATAAGCACATGTCATTCCATTCAAAGGTATTTTACATAAATATTTTGCATAAACTTTCATTGAAAAACAACAATAAAGCAAAAAGCGTTAAAATTTATAACGATTGAGCTTCAAATCATAGATCAACCGGTATTTACAACAAAGATTTTGGAAAGCATTGCCAAGATGTTTTTACCGTCTAAAATCCAAAAGGTAGCAAATTAAAACTTCTCAAATCGCTTTCACTCCAAGTATATGATTTAACTGAATAGCCAAATACTAAAAGACAGCAAATTTTTTAAAAGACTGAACATAGAAGAGGCAGCAAAAAGACAAAAGAATGAATAAAACTAGTATATACAGCAAAATAATCTATATTTTTATATATATTTTATCCATATTGGTAAGAAGAAAAATTTTAACTGGCTAAAATTTGTTTCAGACCCAATTTTTAATCATTAAATTAACTAGAAAACGATACAAGAACAGAAAAAAAGAAATGAAGAAGACTAACAAGAATGAAAAAAAAATATGAAATAAAAGTGTATCTGTTTTTTTTTTTTTTCATATATAATTCTTAAAACTGCTCAAAAGCAACAGAAATTTCTTTTGTTCAATATTCTTCCACCTTTAAAATATCTGAATAATTAAACAGAAAAGTGAGACAATAGTATTGTAACATTCAGAATACACCAATGTTTCCTCTATGATCCAGTAAGATTAGGCGATATCTGTAGTCTACCGAAAATAGAGAAATTGTGCGTTAAGCAGTAACAAAACCGCAAAACCAAAAAAGAAATTGCTGACAGTTAGGAAAACTAACGGTAACATTTGGAACCGAATCAAATCGAGAAAGGAAAACGAACATTTAATACTGTCCTCTGTTTAGTGGCTAATGATTATTTCTTCATTTTTTACCGACTATTGTCTGCTGTACTGCTGATTAAAACCGACAAAAATAAGAACAATTAAAAACCAAAACAACTGCTATGTCAATGCAACAATTCTATATACCTTTAAATTTATTTAAATTGCCCACCACTTAACATTAAAATATTTTTGAACTCATTTCTGCGAATACTAAAATAAAAAAAACGAGTTCCCCACTTGTCCTCGGTCTCTCTAAAAACCTCCCTAAACTGTTCCTATATGTATTTAGTATGGGAAAAATTTCTCAATTTTTAAACTAAACGTTCCAAATGCGTATCGATTGTCAAACAAATGAATGAGCACTGAAAGCTTACTGCCCTTTTACTGACATTTGATCAACAAACTCTCTTTCTACCCTCCTAACATATAACCAAAAAGTACCCTAATTTATTAAAAAGATATTTTTTATGCAATAGAAATTTCTTAGCTGTATAATATGTTACAGACTAGTCTGACATTCTCTTAGATGATATCACAGAGGTTTTTTCAAATAAATAAATAAGTTTACTAATAAGATCAAGAAAATTTTTGCAGTAACAAGAACGACAAGAGTTGACCAGCCTCACTTACATCAGCTAAACGCTGTTGTTAACAAAAAAAAATTCTTTTTGTGTTCCAAAATTATTAAAGTTTTTTCGCACCATTATTTTTGAGTAAAGAAAGAAAAGTGAAAGAAGAAACCAAGAGAGACAGAAAAAAAAAAGAAAAAAAGAAAAACAGAAGTCAAGATAAGAGGAAGAGAAATAAATAAGTGAATGAGTACCTGAAACAACCTAACGACGATTCAGGTAAGCACTGAGGTTCCCATAGAACCTCCAAGCCCTCAGAATCTGTAAAAAACATTGTAAAACTCTTTAAACCATTCAAATACATACGCAAATAAATCCACAACTATGGCATAGTTAAAGCAGAAGTAGTGAAGAGAAAAGAACAACGGTGAAAACAGATGATGGACAAAAACAATCGTAAAGAAAGGATAATAATCACGAGGTGTGGAAGATGACGCGGCAACACCGATAAACATCCTCAAAGTGACACCTGCCCATTTCTGGTTCAAAATACGAAACGTGTGCAGAGCAGCAAAAATTATTCATAGAAACTTCAGTTTTCTTAGCTTAAATTAGTGTTCCCTGTACTACACCAAAACCGATAAACAGCAACCAGTTTTCTTCCGCAAAGTACCTTTAATTTATTTGCAAAAACCAAATCACAAATTTCCAACTAAGTTTTTTAATTTTTACTGCACAGCTGTAAACTAAGAGAGTTAAAAAAATTAAACTAACTTAACTCATCATCCCACCCATTTTCAAAACTATTTTGAATACAGATTATGAGTTAAACGCTTATCTTTTACATGTCTTTTCACTTTCTACCATTTTTTCACTTCATTCAAACCACTTTGCAATAACTTGCGTTTTCTAGAGCTACAATATGATGTGTATCTTCTTTCCACCACAAAACTTTCAATGTTTCAGCAAACTCGTTTTTTCCTAAATCACTCGATTATAATATGCAGAACTGATGAAACTTTTATTGCTTCCTTGCATATCATACTTTCAACCAAATTCTCATCAGTATTGACAGTCGGCTCTAACTGCTATTAGTTTTATCAGTATCTAGTAACGTACGTCGCCCCTATTCATTTTAACCCCGAAGATCAAAAATTTATCGCTATTTCCTTTTTCTTAAAACTATTGCAGCCGAGAATGTCAACAAAAAAATTTGAGTCTTTTCATTCGTAACCCACTTCCAATTCCTAGCGTATAGACTTCTCGATAAGGTCTTATTTACTTTCGCGATTTCAAGCATATTTCTGCACCCCTTCCTACTTCTTAAAAGTTAGCTGTCACTCCGCGACTTTAAGCCTCATAAAGTGTCAAAGTTTTTGAATTCTTTATCACGTCCGTTACAGCGGAATTTTTACGAAAACAAAGAAAAGACTTTTTGTAGGGATGCAAAAAGAAATGCTCTACTAAAACTCCAAATATGGTATGGCTTTGTAACTGTTTTTTGGTTTCATTCCTCCGCCAAGTACATTTTGCTCTAACGCATCAAAGCCTGTCTGTGAAACCGATATTCGTGCCAAGATTTTCGGAAGGTCTTCTCATTTCGTCCTTTAGTTGGATTTACAAGTGTTATCTTTTTTTATAATTTCGGAATTGAATCATGCAAAACCAATTAAAAAAAACAGATTGGTTTATGGGCCCTTGCTTCAATTGAAAAGATTGAGAAGCACAAAGTTACTGGTATAAGTCAGACAGTCTAACGAAAGAACAGGGACGACCTCTACCGGTAAGCTACCGGCGCGCTGCAGCGGTCTTTAACCAATTAACGCTTTGGTCGCCAGCAACCTAGACCCAGTAGTTAAAAAACTTTTGAATTTTTTCAGGTCTGTAATAAATTCCAGTTCCAGGATGCAACTTTGACCGGATATCTCTGGCAAAAAATTGACTTTTCGACATCGCCTCTTTCACTTTTCAAGTCTGATCCCAAATTCTATCAATAAGAAACGCAGAATTTCTGAAATATTAGGTGAGGGATGTGTGAGTGTCAGACTTAACGTGAAATGGCTATATATATATATATATATATATATATATATATATA